GTTTGTGGGGGAGACAACTCTACATGCCGAACCATTTCTGGACTTTTTGACAAGCCACTACCTAAGGGTGGTGAGTTATTATTAGTTTCCATAATATAAACTCTTTCTAGATAATCCCTTAACCAGCCAGTATTCTTCTTTTATATTGAATTATGTCTTTAAAAAAATATAATGGTCACATGTCTTAAAATATTAACAAATATAGTATATTTAGATAAAAATTGTTCTCATAAATGTTACTTTATACAATTTATTTAACTACTGGTCATCTCTAACTGTAGGCCTACACATTTTCTCTAAACAGCATACCAAGAAATTGTAACAATTCCAAAAGGAGCAATGCACTTGAAAGTTATCGAGGCCAAATATTCCAGAAACTACTTGGGTGAATATGAGTGGTTTCCTTTTTTTAAACATCAAAGTCCTCATTACGTCAAGTCCAGCTTATTTCATATGAAGAGTTTCTGGATCAGTGTTGCACAGTCCAGCTTATTTCATATGAAGAGTTTCTGGATCAGTGTTGCACAGTCCAGCTTATTTCATATGAAGAGTTTCTGGATCAGTGTTGCACAGTCCAGCTTATTTCATATGAAGAGTTTCTGGATCAGTGTTGCACAGTCCAGCTTATTTCATATGAAGAGTTTCTGGATCAGTGTTGCACAGTCCAGCTTATTTCATATCAAGAGTTTCTGGATCAGTGTTGCACAGTCCAGCTTATTTCATATCAAGAGTTTCTGGATCAATGTTGCACAGTCCAGCTTATTTCATATCAAGAGTTTCTTGATCAATGTTGCACATTATTGACATTAAAGCTGTTTAGCTATTAAAATAGTTCAGTCTAATTTCTAACTAAAAACGTGTCTGAATGAGGTCATGTCTCCAATACAATCAGGGGGTATTCTTAACATGGTTAACCTGAATGAGCAATGCGAAACAAAAAGTTAAGATTTTTTTTAAACAATTGTACAGACATCATTAGTTTTGTTTAAACTGTGCTCATAAAATTAAAATTATAAAATACAATTAATGATTTAAGTACGAAAGACTGAACAATGTCAGCATGGTTATAGTTGCATTAAAGTATTTAATAAGCAGAACGTCATTACCATTTCAACACAATTAAAAATGATTTTTCATTATCCAAATTGAAATGTTTTCTTTTCTTTTTGGAAATGAAATTGGTTTCTTGAATTTAACGGTAAAATTATTCCCTTAAGTTATTCAAAATTATTAATTTTAAGACAATGTTGTTTTTTTTTGTCTGTTAGAAAAACTGCTACACAGTGTTCAATCTTTCTAATAAATATTTAAATGTGTTCTTTTAAATGAACCAAATACCTGACACATTTTTTTTCCTTTAAGCCTTGAAAGACACACATGATCATTACTTCATCAATGGTGAATGGACTATCGATTGGCCGCGGAAGTTTCCGATCGCTGGCACTGTGTTTCACTACAAGCTCTCCGAACATGAACCTGAATCACTGCTGGCCCTCGGCCCAACAAAGGAAGATTTAGTTATCATGGTGAGAATTTAAAAGCCAAAGTTCATCATGCAACTCAGCACATAGAAGTTAACCCTTGTGTTTGCAACAACTTTTGTATGACTTCATTTCTTTCAACATACGAGGTAACAAATGTCCCAAATATTGCTACAAGTCAACAACATACAAGGTAACAAATGTCCCATATATTGCTACAAGTCTACAACAACCAAGGTAACAAATGTCCCATATATTGCTACAAGTCAACAACATACAAGGTAACAAATGTCCAATGGGATTGCTACTAGTCGACAACAACCAAGGTAACAAATGTCCAATGGGATTGCTACTAGTCGACAACAACCAAGGTAACAAATGTCCCATATATTGCTACAAGTCAAACTATGAAAACATTGACACCTGAAGCTGTACAACTTTAGCAAATAAAACCAGCAAATAAAACCAGCTGCTCGTACTGCTGTCAGTGATTAAAGGTTTGGAAGTGTTAACATCACTACCTGTGACAATAATTACCCTGGGTCTGGGGCCCCCTTGAGGGTTAGTGGCTGTGGGCACACCCTCCCCCCCCCCTCCCTCCCCCATGCCCTTTAAATAAAGTTTTGCTTACAGTTTCAAAGCTTAATTTCTCATCTACCTTGTACTCTTTCTTTCATCTTTTGGCCAGATGCTGTTGCAGGAGGACAACCGAGGAATCCTCTATCAATACAACTTACCTGTAAATACATCTGATACATCAGACATATCCCTTTATACTTGGGTACATTCTGGCTGGAGCACCTGCTCAAAGTCCTGTTCTAGAGGTATGTCTTATATTTCTCAAGACAAGGCCATTAATTGAAATTTTAAATAAATGTGTCCCTGTCAATAAAAATTATAATTTGATTTTATTCTTTACTTAAAAATAATTCAGTACCGGTACGATAATTTTTTTGTAATGTAATTTTTAACCCTCCTTCTTAGTGTCCTCGTTTTATAGCCATTTTAATTGTTTCTATAGTATAGTAGTTACTATCCTAATGTCTCATTTTTATTTTAGTTAGTTTACATGTTTTTAATAATTGTAAAGCGCTTAGAGCTGTAAGGTAAGCGTTATATAAAAATGCCTAAATAAATAAATAAATAGGAAAAAAAAAGAAATTGGGATTTGAAGTTTTATATTGACATCAGAGAAATGCTGTTTATTCAATAATTGATTCAGCACTCTCATCTGTTTAAATTGTTTATTTTTCATGCAGGAACAAGTGTATCAAAGGCACGGTGTGTTCACAAGTCTGATGGTGAAAGTGTGGATGATAAATACTGTGACAGACAACCGAGACCCTCTGACCACACTAGAGCATGCAATGAGGACCCATGCCCTCCAAGGTTAGTACTAATTAGACTATCAGAAACAAGAACTTCTCGAGAATATTACTAAAAAATATAACAAAATAAATTTAACTGAGAACCTTTTTTGGGATAAATAAAAAATGAAGTTTGCAATAATTTACTCACAGATGGTCTTTTGGCCAGTGGTCAGACTGCAGTCAGACATGCGGAGAGGGTCATCGAACACGTTTGGTGGTTTGTCGTCAGATAATAGGAGACGGTGAGCAGCTGGTCCTGGATGATTCGGAGTGTGCAGAACCAAAGCCAGCCTCAGAGAGAGAGTGCAGGCTTGAAGAATGTCCACCAGAGTGGCATACCTTTGAGTGGTCAGAGGTAAGGTTAGGCAGATTAAATATATATAAGTTTTAAGAATGACATAACTTTGAATGGTCAGAGATCAGCAGTGGCGTATCTAGGGTTAGCGCCACCCAAGGTGGGCCAAGCTTTTTGCCACCCCCTTCCATGAAAAAAAAACTGTTGCAGTTGGCACAAAATGCCACCGTACATATAAAGAAATAAGTGCCACCCAGGGGGGAATGTCCTCTCCGCACCACCCTTCTTTTGCCACTGGAGGTAAGGTTAGGCAGATTATATGTATGATTTATTTTTCAAATTCCTGCTCAAACTACCGTATTTATCGGCGTATAACACGCACAGGCCTATAACACGCACCATTCGCGCCGCTATGCGGTATGTACTATTGGTCCATGGCGTATAACACGCACACATCATTTGCCCCCTATTTTCAGGGAGAAAACGTGCGTGCGTGTTATACGTCGATAAATACGGTATTGAACTTCAACTAGTAAATTTTAAACCATGAGTCGTGCCAAATTCTTGATATAAATTTCAGCAAAAACATTATTTTTAACTTTTTAGACAATCTAATTGTTTTTAATGTTAACTATTTCGTTTTGTTTATATTGTGTTTCAGTTATCTGAATTGTTTAATTCAGGTAATAACATATTTCATCATCTATTGGAAAAATAAATTAATTTTTTTTAAAAAGAAATATTTTTTTTATTTTAAAAATTTTACTAGTTATTTTATTTTTGAAGGACTTATGAGAATTTATTGCAAATTTATTGACTTTTTCTTTTGGTCTGTATGAAGAGCTGAATCTTTATTTTATTCATTTAGTGCACACCATCCTGTGGTCCAGGTGAAAAGAACCGTCGGGTGCTCTGCATGTCCAGTGATGCAGCAACTTACTTAGATGAGAGACGCTGTAAGGCAGATGACAAGCCACCGACCAGGCAGACGTGTATGAACAGGGAGTGTCCACCACCGCAGTGGAGGAAAGGGGAATGGAGTCAGGTAAAAATGGTTTCCTTAAGCTACACATTATTTTTTATTTAAATGTCAAGCCCATGTAGTGATAAACATTTGGTCAATAAACATCATGACATCAAGCCCATGTAGTGATAAACATTTGGTCAATAAACATCATGACATCAAGCCCATGTAGTGATAAACATTTGGTCCATAAATATCATGACATTCACTTGGGTGGAGAAACAAAAGAGGGCGAGGGGTGTTGTTTATGATCTGTCTAATGCAGAGAAACAATGCATGTTGATTAAACTTGTTCTGATCTAAAGGTGTGATATTTAGTAGCAGAGCTTCAAATTCTCTAAATCATTAGATGATAGGTGATAGATGATAGGTGATAGATGATAGGTGATAGATGATAGGTGATAGATGATAGGTGATAGATGATAGATGGCTCTTATCAAAATAAAAGTTAACAGATTCTCATTCACTGTTTAATGAATGGCTTTCATTGATAATAATAATAATAAAGTTCATTTCAAAAACACGCTTCATCCCCAAAGGCTCGAAGCGCGGTACAAAGTCAACAAAAAACAAATCTATAATTTACCACATTTAAAACAAACGCAACACTACAAAAACTAATTACAAGCATACAATGTCAAAGTCTTTCAACCCATTTCAACCGTGAGCAACACGTGATCAGTTGGACCACTTATATGTCTTTTACTAATGTTTATTATTAACGTACAGTCTATATATAAAATCTAATATCTCATTAATACATGTAATGGAGCAGAAAAAATCTTTTTGTGATATGCTATTTTACTTTAAGAAAATAATATTCATGGTTTCAGGATATGTGGAAGTGAAATGAAAATAACATCTTCGTGTTTTAGTCCCATTAAAGCTTCTCTGGTCTTTGGTGGCATGGTAAGTAACTATGTATTTATTTGATTGTATGGTAAGTAACTATTTATGTCTTTGATGGCATGGTAAGTAAGTATTTAGTTTTCAATATTTAAATTGTGCCTTATAACTGTAAACTGCTGGTAACTAAAATAATAAAAGTACAAATATATTTTAAAGTTTATTTCTTAATATAGCTCAGAAATAAAAAAACAACAAAGACATTTTTCAAATTTTATTTTGTTTTCAATTTTTATTAAATGTTTTCCTGATGAAAGATAAATTCATGTGTTAATATTAAGACCAATTTATAAAAACCACAACAGCATGATGGTTCTGTTGCATTGTGGGATATTCGAGAGGGTGGATCACAACATCGGAGCATTAAAATCGAAGGTCAAGAACATTTAATACGCTTCCCTACATACAATTCAGGTATGAATCAGCTTTAACTAGAAAGCTTGTGATTATTATATTAAAAGATACAAACTGTCAAGAGTATAAAAGTAGGGCTATCATGATATGCATATAAAATGTCAATTCTCTTTTGGGTCGAGACTTTAGTCTCTTATGACCCTGGCTATGGTTTTGCGTGACCGCAAACTCGGCAGCTTTTATATAGATATAAAGTACTTGAGTATGAGAATTATAGCAGTAACTATAATACAAGTGATACAGCAGAAAAAGAATCAGAAAAAGTATTTTTTGTAATTGGTTGTGTTCTTTAACAATTAACATCTGATCTATACATCTTATGGAAATCAAAATAACTGCATTCTCAAATTTTAATTAGGTACATCTCTTTGGCTTAAAACTAAATTGAAATATCAGTACTTAAGTTTTATGTGTTAAAGTTTATTTTAAGTAACATATTTTTTTGCCATCTTTGATCAGCACGAGTGCTGGAAGCTGAAAACCATCACAGTCCTGTTGTGGCCATTGTTCCTGTATATGCGCATCTTGTTGGGTGAGTTTGAACAGTGGTTCTCAAAGTCTTTTTTGTTCACAACACAATTTTTCAATTATGTGAACACATTTTTTTACACTTAGCTGCTGATTGGCTTGAACTGAATTCTAGCTGTAAAATTAGTTACACTTTTTATGATTATTAAGGACCCAATATGTGTTAGAAAGTTACACAAGTTTTTATGATGGCCTCCCCACGTGCCCTTATTACTCATAACCTGTACCCCTGTATGATAAACTGTTCGAGAAACTATATGGCATCCTTCCGTCTTCGTGAGACAATGTAGTAGCTATGTAGTCCTACACTTCGACGTGTGGCTCACTAGGCCAATCCTAGAATGACAATCTCGACTGCATTTCTCGCAGGAGAATATTGATTCCTGGTAAGATCTTGACTTCTGTATTATTCTTTTTGTTGCAAGGGCCTCGTTTCGCGTGTCTTCTGCCCTTTTTACACCTTCATACACTGCTGTTCGCCAGATGGAGCGTTGTTCCGCAATGAGCTTCCATTCATTGTTTTCAATATTGGCTTCCCTCATGCTCCTTTTGCAAATGTCCATAAATCTCAGGGGTGGCCATCCAATAAGTCTTGTCCCTTCTGCCAACTCTCCATACAGCAGCATCTCTGGGATACAGCCTTCCTCCATTCTCGTTACATGGCCTAACCACAGAAGGCGCCTCTTGCTAAGAAAGGAGTGTATATGCTAAACATGTGTGCTTGTTCCAAGACCTCTGTGTTAGGCACCTTGTCCTGCAATCGAATGCATAAAATGCGACGCAGACATCTTTGGTGGAAGTTGTTGAGTTTCCGCTCCTGACTGGTATATGTGGTCCACACTTCGCTTCCATAAAGGAGCGTACTAAGCACACATGCCTGATAGACACTTATTTTTGTTTTATCAGTTAGAATGAGATTATTCCACACCAGCTTATTCAGTTTAGCCATAGTTGCTGCTGCTTTTGCAATCCTGATATTTATCTCTTCATCGAGGGAGAGAGAACTAGAAATATTTGATCCAAGGTATGTAAAATGCTCATCAACCGAAAGATTATGACCCTCAATAGATATGATTGGAGGGGACGGTGCTTCTTGCATCATTACATGTGTTTTTTGTAGACTAATCGAAAGTCCAAACTCTTTACAAGCGTGTGATTGACGATGGGCGTCACCGTTAATCAAACCAGCCCCTGAAGACCTTCTTCTGTGTAAGATATTAAGGTGGCATAGCCAGTGAACAGCAGTTCACGAATCAGCACCTTTTTTACTTTGGTCTTTGCACGAAGGCGGGCAATATTGAACAGATCTGGTATGGACGTACACTCCATCTTCACAGTCCCTGAAGGCAAATTGAAGAAGCGTTGAGAAGAAAATGGAGAAGTGCGTTGGTGCCTTTGTACACAACTCTGTTTTACTCCGCTGCTGACTGGGAATAACTCAGAGACAACGCCATTGAAAGTTATCGTGCTGTGCATGTTATTGTGAAATGACTGTATGATTGTGAGCAGTCATGGGGGACAACCTATTCTTTGCAGGATACTGAAAAGGCATCTCCGACTTACCAAGTCAATGGCCTTTGTCAGGTCTATGAAAGCAATATAAAGTGGCATATGCTGTTCACGACATTTCTCCTGCATTTGGCGTAATGAGAATATTATGTCTATAGTTGAGCGCCCACTCCAGAAGCCACACTGGGACTCTGGGTAGATGCGTTTGGCCAGACTCTGCAATCGTTTAAGGGCAACACAGGCAAAAGTCTTTCCAACCAAGTCAAGGAGAGAAATTCCTCGGTAGCTATTGCAATCTCTTCGGTTCCCTTTATTTTTATACAATGTTACAATGTTGGCGTCTCTCATGTCCTGGGGAATGTTTGAGAAACACGGCTCCTTAAAATATATCTGTTAGCAGCACTTTTTAAATAGCTGAGATAAAATTAAGACTGTTCAAGAAAAGGTTGTCATATATTGGATTCTTTATGTAATTAAACATGAACAAATGTAAAATGGACTACTAGGTGTAAGAACAATGCATGATATAAGTGAATATTGTAAGGACAAATTCTTTAGCTAAAACCTCATTTGTCGATGTTTGGTCTGGCAATGTTGTCACTGGCTGTGTTGACCATTTCTGGTCACTAGAACATGCTGAAAATTTAAATCTTTATCATACTTTATGTACCGTAATATAAAATCACATATTGTAACACTAGAAATTGTTGCTTTGTTCACAGATCTTTAAAAGATGACAAATTAACAGGTGAAGTTAAAATTACAGTGAAATTCATGCATTAATTTTTTAAGTGTACATTTCTTATTTGTCATGGTACTTATAGCTATGGTGTATCTTCAGTTCATAAAAAAAATTTCATGAGTTTGCTTGATTTTATTCAAACTTTTGAAGCATGTAATGACAAGAAAATATTTGTTATAATTACTCCATCATTAACAAATGTTCATGTATGAATACATGAGGCATGTTTAATTTGGCTCTATATTTAATCAGAGTCAAGCTCTGGGCTATCATTCCAACTTGCTTCAGTTGAGGAGAGGGCTGTTGTCAATTTGTGGGTATGTCAGTTAAAAAACCACCTCCAGCTTAAGTTATTGTTAGTTATGTCATGATTCTGCTCTCTTTTGCATGTTTCATTTATTCTGTTATGTTTTAGCCATTTGACAATGCATGCAAATTGTTTTGGATCATGGAAAACTCCAAATATTGAAATTTCAATAATTCAATAAAATGATTTGCAATTTTGGGATTATCATTAATATGTGAATAAGCATTCTGTTCAAAAGGATTCATTTATTTTAAAAAACTGATCCTGAATTGTTAATTTTAATTCAGAGCCAGCAGTGAGATGTGTCTTTAGTTCTTAATTTCAGCAGAAATGTGTATACCATATACAGCAACGGAAATGTCAAATTTGTGTATTCAATTTTTGTTGCAAACAATGAAGTGCAATTCTTTTTTTATTTTAAATTTGGTCAATAGCATAATTTCTGGGTTGTTGTTTTTTTAAATTTGGCAAGCCCAATTGTTTTATACATTAATTTAGCCACCTTATCTTAGATGATGCTTTAAACTATTCCCCACATATTTTAATGGTTATAAATTTTGATCAGGTTGTGGCAGAAATTGCTGTTCCAGACCCTGCAGGTTCAGAAAATGACCTTGGCCTTGCACCTGGTGGAAAAATAAAACTGCTGAGAAGTTCATCGGTCACACTCACTAATCCTAACAAGTAAGTCAAGTAACTGATTAATTTTATTTATTCAGCTTTTCCTCTTGGTTTCAATTTGTTAAAAACTCTTCATGTAAAATTTGCATTAATTTCTTGCACATAAACAAAATTGTTTTGTGTATATTGTCTTATTTAATGTTGTCCTTCTCTTTATAGATATTTATCTACATCCCAAGATTTGAAAGCTTTAGATCTGCGATTGAATCCTGGAGACCTCAACCATTTTTATGTGGCCACTGATGCAGTAAGTAAGAAATCTGTTGAGAGAGAAAATATATTAGGCTGAAATATTCATTCAATTTGACTGAAAATTAGGTAAAAATCAATATCTGAAGAAAAATAATTAAAGTGCTGTCACATCTATATTCACTCACAGTGCACGGACTGAGACTACCACAATGCTAATTACTAACTATATAGTATATATCTATCAACAACAGAGGCGTTGTGGAGTTCAGTGAAATATAGTGACTATCATTTATTATTAATACACACTCACGAATAAGCAATTATAATCACAAATATAGAATACTTATCACAATCACAACCTATTCATTATCTTATCAAATAATCAATATATTAATAGCATGGACTTAAAACAACTGCCATGATTCCATCTTCCATTGTACTCTCCCCTTTCTCTTCTTTCCTTGGTTCCTCTTCCCAAGTTCCATACTCTATCTATTATAAGTCCTAATTCTCACCTCACTTAACTCTCTTAACTCAACTTAGCTCTGTGACAAGTGCCTGTTGGTATATTTTCAGGGCTCTGTTGTGCATGGTGTAAGGTTTGGTAATAAAGCCTACCCTCAGAGCCATTCATCAACTGTTGGTGAGTACAGCCCCTTTGGTAGTGATTTTTTTTTTAAAGGTCAATAATCAAAACATTTTTTTAACTCAATCTTTTTCTGCATTTTAATTACAGTAATTAATTTTTTTCACCTAGGAGATTGTTGAGATTGTTCATAATTTTAGTTTTACCTCAATATACCAGCCCCTCTCAACTGTAAAAGCATATCAGTTTTTATGAATTGCATCATACTGTCACTAGTTGAAAAAAGGTGTAGCATATATTCTACATGAAAATTCAACATTACAAATCAGAAGAAATAATTTTTAAATCACCTGCCTTCCTTATGTACCCATTTAATCAATTTAAATTCATTAATTTTGATTGTGGCAAGGGAGGGTTGCAGTATCTTATACTAGATACCATTGGTTGGCATGTTTCACAATTAATTATTATGTTGTTTCCTTGTATCTGTATAGACTCGCCTGTTCCAGTCGTCTCCATTGATTTTTCTCCATTTGGTCAACCTTACTTTCTGGTATGATGCAGCATTATATTTAATGTTCTCTTCTCTACTGAAAACATTTAATCTTTTCAACACCCTCCCCCATTTTCCATTATATTGTGAATTAGAGCAGTAGTGCTCAACCTTTTTGTGAATGTGACCAATGTTCCCTTTAAGCTGCATGGCTGCACGGCCTCGCAGCTATCTCAGAGACGCTGCGCAGCAGTTTTGAGTACCGCGCAGTAAATTTCCATGTAAGTTTGTGTTTGTGGGCTGTAAAACGTTGCACACAAAAACATTGATGCTGTAAAACTTTGCACACAACTGTATGATTTTGCACACGAACCAACAAACCTTAGAGGGAACATTGGATTGAATGTGACCCCACTGAAAATTTGTTTAATTATTGGGGTTAAAAGTTCCAATTTGAAAAAGCAATATTTTATATTAACAAATTAAATTTTATATTAACAAATTAACCATTATTATTATTGATAATTTAAGAAAGAAAACAAAGAGACCAAATGGCCACCCCCTTACGAACCAAAAAGTCAACATCCAAAGTTTGCACCCCTGAATTTAGAGCATCAGTTTAAAAAAAACAAAGTGTTTGTCATTTAAAATTAATTTCTAAAAACTTCAAGCAAGAGTTCAAGCTTGTCCAAAGCAAGGGATATGCACTTTAAATGTTGTAAATTGTTTTTTGTCTCTTACTTTAAAATAATATTGCTTTATTCATTATTCTTGTCAAGGCTGGCTGCCAGGATGGAACCTTATATTTATTTAATACTAAAATGGGTAAGTAGAAATTTATCTTGATTTTCAGTAATTTTTAGTTTTAAAAAATGCAGAATTGAAAGAAGTATTTTGGCTTCAAAGAATACTTCACAATATAATATGTGTTATTGTTATACAGGAGACATAAATTTATCTTTTTTGTGCTGCATTTTTGAATTTGACACATTTTTGCAAATGCCTGCAGAAAAACCAGTGGCAGCATGGCGTGAGTTTATATCAGGGGAGACAATTCTCAGCATCAGATGGTCGCAGAGCAGACCTGCTGTGTTTTTTGTTTTGGACAGCAGTTCAGCAGTTTTTACCTTTGATCTGGTTGAGAATGGGCTGGCTCCTGTCAAAATGGACAGAATTACTGTTGCTAAGTAAGTACCATAAAAAATGTACCTATCCCAAATACCCGGAATAATTGTTTTTAAATAAATCATGTTACACTTCCAATCATTTTTTTCTACCAGGAGAGTTAGAGAATAACTGTATTTCTTAAAATGTCCATAAACAGTCCTTTTATATGAGTATGCTAACATCTTTTCATTTTATTTATGATTCTAAAAATATCATTATCAGTTTATGATGAGAAAGTAATTATATATTTTTATGGTAATAAAATCATTGAATAAAAAATGTTTTTTTTAAAAAAGAAAGAAATTATACAAAATATAATAAAAATAAAACATGAATTTTTCAGAGCCACTTGCTTGGAGCTTGGTGGGGATCCAAATCTCATGACATCTGGGACCTCAAGACCTGCACACATGGTAAAACTGTTTTTCTAATGTTTAAATTTCAGGTGACTTAACATTTATAACCCAGGCTCATTTGTTATCACTTGATGCCTGGTACTGGCTCTCCAAGTTTTATAAACAAAAGCCTGGCAAATTACTGGATTAGATGATGGATGTCAACTTTAGATTATCCATGACTGTCCATTCTGCTTTCAGATCACAAGCTTTGTATGACCTTTCATGTCTAGATCACAAATGTACATAAACAGATAAACTTCTTGGTTCATATGTTCTCTCTGGAGCCTATACTACTAGTAGATAATTTTTGAAGGGTTGAGTTGATCAATAAATGCCAGCAAGAACTAAACATATATATGAATTAAGTTGGTCAAGGGAAACCATTTTTTCTTATTTATATTATCAGTTAATATTGCAGTGATAATCCCAAAAGAATTTAAAGCCCCTTTGAAAAGTAATCATTGTGTCGGTGACAGATTATTTCTGATGATAGTTTTGTTGATTAACTTTCCTTTGATGTGCCAGTTATTCCTCTATGTACAGGTTCTTGCCCTGGCTAGTGGGGACATAGAAGTTCTATCGCTGAATGAAGAAATGAGACAGCAGCAGCCTTTAGAAGAGGAATTCCTGGCATGTTATGTGGACAGATTTTAATTACAACCTCAATTGTTTGTTTTTACGCTCTATTTCTTTTTGTTGATTAAGATGTCTTGCTGAGAGGCACAATTTAATAGTTACAAGGGTTATTTAACTGGACTCCACTCTTAGAGGAAGGAATGCTTTTGTAACTTCATTTTCAGTAAACTTCATTTCAATACTTAATTTTTAAAAAATAAATGCACTGCCTATTTATTTTCTTTACCTATTGAACCATTTGTTTCAAATGTGCATAGGATTCGAATATTATTATATTTATTTTGAAAAATTGTAATAAGAAATCTGCTTTGAATCAAAATAAAATCCAGTTGAATCAACTAATTGATATCTGTGATGTTGAGAATCTCAAACTCTTTTTCTCTGAAAAGTAAATTTAAATTTAATTTCTAAAACTTATGTTGTGCTATTTAGATCTCAGATAATTTTCTTTGAGATACGGCTGTGATATCCTTATTGTAGTGGGGCTTGTGTGGCAGTATCAGGGATTGTAATATTTTTGTGTTAAGAGACCAAGTGAATTTACATTTGAGTATCTAAAATAATCCGTCCAAACATTCTGTATGCTTTAATTATTTTTAGACTCTCGGCTAAAAGAGTATAAATGTGCCTAAAAAAATCTTAATGTCAAAACGCAACAAAAAAATGTTATACATTTCTATGATGACATCTCAAAATTCTGTAAAAATTATTTTGTCTGCATTGTTCAAATATATGATCAAGGCTAATATCTCTTGATTTATTTCAAATGAAATATAAAAAAAATATTTAAAATGAGCATAGAATCAGGGTATTTAAATTTTTTTTGCAGCACATGACAAAAAAAAAATATATACATCATTAGGACAGCCTTGTTTGTCGTAGGGTTTTTTTCCTCACGGGATTGTTTTTCATATAGAATGCTGCATTGATGTTATTTTTATTTCATCTTATTTTATTATATCTTTTTAAATTATAAAAATAAAACAAAGATATCCTAACAGCAGATTTTGTTCATACATTATTCATATGTTTTGTAGATGAAATATATCTTTAAAAAACAAATGTGTAATTTGAGCTACAAATATGGAATGGGCTGTTTTCTTTAAATGCCCCCCACCTGTAATCCTCTCTTTATGCAATTTTATAACGATATGCTGGACTTTAAAAAAAGGATGTGTATCTTACATAAACATTTTTTTTATTTACCTATTTTTTAAAGCAAATGTGCATCTTTCTTAACAAAGCATATCACATTAATATACAGGGTGGGCCAATAAAAGTGAGAACATCTCGTAAAATGTGATTTATAATCACAGCAAATTTAGTTGAACCAGGCGCGAAAGTAAACAGTGAATATTATTGTGAACAAGTTCTCAGAAGAGGATTGTTGCCTGACATTCAAGCGAAATGTGGTTGCCATAACTGGACATTGCAGCAGGACGGAGCTCCATCTCACACAGCCAGAACTAGAATCAACTTTCTTTGTCGGGAAAATATTAACTTCATTGAGCCAGACATGTGGCCACCAAACAGCCCAGATTTAATCCAGTAGATTATGCCATATGGGGTGCTTTGCAAGAAAAAGTCTACTTTCGGTGAAAATTTACCACAGTTGAGCAGCTCAAGTTGGCAATAATCGAGGAATGGCGAAATCTAGGGCAACGTTTCATTGAAAGAAGCATAAACGAGTGGCGTCGGCACTTGGAAAAAGTTGTTGAGAAGCAAGGAGGACACATTGAACATGATTTCTGATTAGCTAAATATTTTGCACAAAATTCCATGAAAAATTATAATTAATTAAATTATCTTTTGAAATAACTCATATGCTACGAGATGTTCTCACTTTTATTAGCCCACCCTGTATATCAAATTTTCTTATGCCTGGAATTATATTAACAACTCAAATTTCTCTTAAAGTTAAAGCAATGACTCTGTGTCTCTGCTTTTAGTATATTGATGTAATGGGATGATTTATAAAGCTTGCAATAACGGTCAAAGCAAGCAAATAAATAAATTAATTTGTTATAAAATGTCATTATTAAACCTATCAGCTGAAAGTATTATTATCACTATTTAAAAAAGCTTCACACAAAACGGAAAGATTTAATAGCTTAATATGTAGGCCTAGTTGTTGCTTTCTCACCAAAAAACAAAAAACAAAACATGCAAATAAAAGAAACAACAAATTAATGAAAGCTTGTCTTCTGGCACTGTTCCCTCTATTTGTAAATCAGCTGTCATCAAACCATTGCTTAAGAAGCCAGGTCGCCGGTCTGGATGAAAATAATTTTAAAAACTATGGACCTGTAGGCCTATCTAACTTATCATTCTTATCTAAAGTCATTGAAAAACTAGCTCTAAAACAACTTTTTACTTACTTAAACGACTACTCCCTTCCCAGTCCTAATCAGTCGGCCTATAGACCTTTCCATAGCACTGAAAAACCTCTCTTGAGAGTCACCAATGACCTCTTGCTCGCATTGGACAGCGGTGATATCTCCATCCTGATCCTCTTAGACCTCAGCGCGGCTTTTAACACTGTTGACCATGAAACCCTGTACATAACCTTTGAAAATTACTTTGGGATTTCGGGATCAGTTTTGGCTTGAATTAGGTCCTACTTCTCCGATAGAACGCAGGCTGTCGATGGATGTGTCTCCGGCAGGGCTGACTTGGTGAACGGAGTCTAACAGCGGTCCGTTTTGGGCCCGGTTTTATTCACAATGTATACCAGGCCACTGCTCCTCTTGCTCGGGATGCATGCTGTGGAGAGCAAGTCATTCGCAGATGACATGCAGCTATACAAGCATACCCATCCCTCTCTTGTTGATTCTGCTATCTGTACTTTGCGGGAGAGCATTGATGATGTCAAGACATGGATGACACTCAGCAAGTTGAAGCTTAACGATGACAAAACGGAAGTACTCCTTATTCACGATCACAAATCATCCTCTAACTCGGCTCTCCCCACTTCATTTCAAGTAGGTAACTCCGATATACAGTTTACATTCTCCGCTAGGAATCTTGGTTATATTCTGTCTATCAACATGTATCTCGATAATCATATCTCTCACATTTGTCACTCTGCATACACCGCTATTCGCCAGATCATCTCCATCCGCCAATACCTTACAGTTAGTGCAACAAAAACCATAGTCGATGCTCTAGTTCTCTCTCGTCTTGACTATTGTAACTCTCTTCTAACAGGTTCACCAAAACACTTCTTAGAACAATTACAAAAGGTTCAAAACTCAGCTGCTAGGTTAATTCTAAAGGCAAAAAAACGTGATCTCGTCAGACCACTACTTCATTGGCTCCTTGTACAAGCACGGATTAAATACAAACTCTCTGTTCTCTGCCACAACTTTTTCTCAAATTCCTCCCCTTCCTATCTAAACCGAACTTCTCTCTGTCTATTCACCCCTTTGACAGCTTCGTTCCTCCGCAGATGCGCGTATTCTTTCTATCCCCAAGACTCGCTCAAAAACATACGGTGAACGATCGTTCTCTTTCTGTGCCCCCAAAAAATGGAATTCTCTTCCATTACACATTTGCAATATACCGACCATTACAGCCTTAAAAACTGTACTCAAAATCCATCTTTTTTAACTCTACTATCCTGACTGATTCCCACCGCTGACCGAAAAACGATGCTACTGGGTGTCGTCCATGGCTTGACATGGAAATAGTTTTAAATATACATTTCTTTTGTTTTATTTAATTAATGTATGTCAATTAAAATTGAAGGCGGAATTTGGTTCTCATTCAGGAAATCCAAAGTTAGATCCTTTGCTCCATGGGAAAAATTAAAATTAACTTGATAAAACGTTCCACAGACTTACATCCTCGAATGTACCGGATCGTGTCAGTTGATCAATGTGTGAAATGTCTGAAGCGGAATCATAACTTATTGAATAATACTTTGACTCTTTAATTTCTTCCAGAATAGCACAAAGGACATGTTGACTAATTAGATCAATAATTTTTTCTCAAATATTTGCCAACAGGTATGATGTGTTACCCTTTTTAGCATTTCCATACAGTTTGAGATACTCTTCCAAAAAAAGGGGTTAAATTCACTCAGCAGCTCTAAAATACCTAAACAATTTCCATAGTTTACTGACCCAATAGTTTGACCCGAACCTCTGGAGGCAAGGAAGCGAACGACATAAACCCCACGAGTCAGAACTTGATGACAGTACTTCTGGTTTGACATTATGGTCCTTGATTAATAAAGGACCTAAACACCTAGATTCTTTCAGTCGAAGCAAATATGCGGTCATATCCTTGCAATGCACTTCTCCATTTTCATATTCTACAATAATATTTGTATGTTTCCAATAATTGAATCCTGATATAGCAAAGGGAAATACTTTTTGTTCAATAGACGACACGCAAAACAATACAAACAACATTGATATGGTGAATGGAGAAGCCATTCGAGTTTTACACACTCGCCATTCTGCAGTTCACGTTTGAACATATTTCTTGATAAATACTTTGTCTTAGTTCTTTCTTCTCCAGCTCTGCCTGAGTTTGAAATGTTGCAGTCATGATTCTGAAACAATGACGGCTCACCGCGAATTCAGTACTCAACTGTACAAGTGTTCTAAATATTCCAAAGCCCGGGATCTGTGTTGTGAATCACACACTCTCGTTTTCTAACACAGCTTTGCGTGTTTCAATTTTTACAATTTCCCCAGCAGAGGAATTAGGTAATGGAATTGTCTAGAACTAGATGGCTGGATCCAATAGAGGATGTAGATGAGGCTTTTTTATTTTGATGAGCAATATTAGTCACTGATATTTCGATTGGATTTAACCAAGGGGTCATCCATAAAAGACGTCCACACAAAAGGAGGGAGGGGGGTTCAGCAAAAAGTGGACTAAAGTGGACAAGGGGGGGGGGAGGGGGTTTAGGACAAAGTGGATGTCCACATTGTAGTGTTTTTTTGAGTGCAGTAGTTTTGCATAAATTTACTGCTAAAAACTTCTAGTTTAATGACAAAAGAGTTGAGATGCAAACCCAAACAAATCTTTCACAAACTGAGTGGTTAAATTTAGAAACGATTTTTTCAATATTAATAATTAATACGCTTGAATATTATTTTAAAAATATGTTGTTAAAGTTTGATTGGTCAAACACAATAAAATCTCAAATAACAGTTTTGCTAAATTCTTAGAGTTTTTCCAGAAATTTTTTAAATGATTTTTGTTTTGTGTTGGGGTTAAAAATGACTGGAATATTTGAATTTGACTTTATTTTTTATTAAAAAATTAGATATAGACAACAAATTATTTTCTTAAATGTAAAAATATATTTAAATTTAAAAATACAATCTTAATATAAAAAACAAATTTCAGTTTATGCTGCATGTATTATCAAGGATGGTCGTGTAACCTATTCCGGACCAACATCCATATCAATAAGGATTGGTAAACATGATTCCAGTACTGCTGCATCACATGTTGCAGATTTTGATGTACTTGTCTCTCTTGATATTTTCAAGAATGTGGCATGTACAAATGGTGGACTAGTAAAGCCTATAGCAATTATTACCGTTGACGGAGGCCCATACGAGAAACCAACGTTATCCAAAAACATTGAATGCTGCGTATAAATTGTTTACCAAGCACAATCTTGATGCTTTCTTTATAGCGTGTAATGCTCCGGGTCACAGTGCCTACAATGTGGTAGAACGACGAATGGCCCCTTTGTCTCATGACCTGTCAGGCCTCATTCTTCCCCATGATCATTTTGGATCCCACTTGGACGCAAATGGTAAAACTATAGACCAAAACTTTGAAAAAGCAAACTTTAAAAAGGCAGGGGAAATACTCGCTGAAGTTAGGGGTCAGGCTGTCATTGATGGCTATAATGTGCACGCACAGTATGTTGAACCAAGCAGCACAAGCACAAATCTTCCGTCTCCCTCTGTGAATTGGTGTTGGAATCATGTGCAAGTCTCAATATTCTCTGCAGATCATCCAATTTAATGATGTAACATGCTGTGGAGCAAGACGAACCAACTATAATGAACTATTTCCCAAACGCTTCATTCCAGCTCCGGTACCTTTTATTAGTCATGAAGCAGGCGTCATGGCTGCAGCTATTGGTAGTAGTAGTGGTACTTATGGATCACTGTTCCAGAGGCTTGCACTGATTGGTCTGGAGCCCGATCACAGTTACAGTAGCATGCCTTTTGATCTCTATTGTCCATCGGTGGCTGGGAGAATTTCCAAGAGAATATGTTTCTGCGGTAAATATTTCCCATCACAGGAGGCAATGAAAAAACATAAGGTCGTCAGTCATTGATGGCTATAATGTGCACGCACAGTATGTTGAACCAAGCAGCACAAGCACAAATCTTCCGTCTCCCTCTGTGAATTGGTGTTGGAATCATGTGCAAGTCTCAATATTCTCTGCAGATCATCCAATTTAATGATGTAACATGCTGTGGAGCAAGACGAACCAACTATAATGAACTATTTCCCAAACGCTTCATTCCAGCTCCGGTACCTTTTATTAGTCATGAAGCAGGCGTCATGGCTGCAGCTATTGGTAGTAGTAGTGGTACTTATGGATCACTGTTCCAGAGGCTTTCACTGATTGGTCTGGAGCCCGATCACAGTTACAGTAGCATGCCTTTTGATCTCTATTGTCTATCCGTGGCTGGGAGAATTTCCAAGAGAATATGTTTCTGCGGTAAATATTTCCCATCACAGGCGGCAATGAAAAAACATAAAGTCGTCCATTGCAATATTCCTGCTAGTGAGCATAATATGGCAGACGAATCAGATGAAGAGACTGCCACTCAAACTCAAATTAAATTAGCAATTGAAGACTCAAGAACAAATGTTGTCATTATACGAAACATGTTTGAATGGCTGCAGTCTGAATTTTCCGTTGATTGAAGAATGGTGGATTATTTCTTTTACATCTTTTAATACAGTGATTCATTAAATCTTTTTGAACGGTTATTATTTCATTTAGAATTTTGCCTGCAAATAATTGCAATTTCTAAAAAAAATCTTTGTAAATACATACTCTTTATATTGTTGTACATTTTCCCAAATTATTCATTAATTTAAGTTCTGTAAATTTTATGTTTTGGACGTCCACAACAAGTCAAAAGTGGACAAAAGTGGACAAAAGTGGACAAAAGTGGACAAAAGTGGATAAAGGGGGAGGGGGGTAAACAATAGCAAAAAATTGGTGGACGTCTTTTATGGATGGCCCCCAAGTATACTCGTTTTCCTTGTCTCCTGAGCTCCTTTTCTCTTCTGTGCTCCAATTACAAAACTAATTTTTTATTCCCGGTTAAGGGGTTAAACACGCAGAAATATATTCATTGCTTACAAGTATTTCTATATTAAAAGCAGCAATCCGTTAAAAAGGATACAGGTAATTATTTTTAAAAAAAATGGATTTGTCTGTCCCTTCACGTGCCCCGCTAAAAACGAACATCGGGAAATGATCAATAGAAATCGTGCCATTAATCATTAATACAATCGATATCTGTGTTTGAGCTACCCGGTATGTAAGATGAAAATGACTTTGAGCTTATAACAGTGAGCACAAATTATGTCTAAATGCTTGTATATTTAATAATAATAATAATAAAGTGTATTTCAAAAACACGCTTCATCCCCAAAGGCTCGAAGCGCGGTACAAGGGTAACAAATCTATAATTTACCACATTTAAAACAAACGCAACACTACAAAAACTAATTACAAGCATACAATGTCAAAGTCTTTCAACCCATTTCAACCGTGAGCAACACAGCTAATATGCATTAAATGGAAAATATGGTAGACAATCATCCCAGAAGGTGTTTGCGAAATAAATGTGTCTTTAAATCGGTTTTAAAGGACTCCAGTGTCTGATTGTTTCTGAGATTGACTGGAAGGGCGTTCCAAATTGTTGGACCAGCAAAATGCGAAAGTGCGTTGTTCGCACTTATCAGCATTTTAATTTTTTTTTTAATTTGATTTTTTAAAATTTTATTTAAAATTTTGTTTCTTTGTTTTTTTTGTTGCAAATTCACAAATTTTAAGATTTTAATAACACTGCTTTGATATAGCTTTACATTAAGATCAAGGACTACAATTCTTATAACATTTCTTGCCAAGTATCAAACATACGCGATCTATGTTCTAATTTTATTTCATATAAAAGCATTACTTTTAAAGTAGGGATAGGTGTTAGTTATAGATTGTATGATGATTTAGCCTTAAAAAAAATTTTTTTTGATTGGAATAACTATAAATGTATTCGATTCCATGAGTATTGAGTTATATAAACTTAAAAAAATGTGAGATATTTTTGTTTTAATTAAGAATTTAACGGGTGCATAAAAATAGTGCAAATTTAATTAATTATTATATGCAAAAAGTTTGTGTTTTCTTTAAATGTGCTACGTTTGTAACAAAGTTTCCTGAATAACAGAGGTTTAAAAAAATATTTAATCAATATTTTATATTCCTACCAGCTTTTATCTTTTTAATATTAGAATAATAAACAAACTACCCCATCTGTTTGCAAGGATGGTTTTTAAAGATAATATTTTTTCAAGATGAGACTATCAGAAAGCTAAAATAAGGAAGATGAATTAGCATTTCGATTATCATGCCAATTCCATTTTGTTTGTTTGTTGATACTTGTTTTAGAATAAATTCTTATTCCTAATTTGTCAATTTAAAATAAACTATGTGGATGTTTTACAGTATATCTAAGTGACAATTCTCAATTTATCTGAAAAAGTTATAGTAGTTTAAAATGAAAATTTTTTAAAAATTCAATCAACTGAAGCTTGGGAAATTTCTACCATTTTGTAAACAACTCATGTCTTCTTTACATAATAATACTGTTTATATACGATTTATAAAATTGACCAGTTAAGATAATCCATAAAAATGCATAGGGCAGTGGTTCTCAACCTTTCAAATGCCGCGACCCTTTAATACAGTTCCTCGTGTTGTGGCGACCCTCAACCACAAAATTATTTTCGTTGATATTTTATAACTGTAGAGTATATGTGTTTCCAGATGGTCTTAGGCGACCCCTGGGAAAAGGTCGTGCAACCCCCAAAGTGGTCGCGACCCACAGGTTGAGAACTGCTGCATTAGGGGGTCATTCGCAAATTACGTCACTGTCGTCACGCTGAAGGTGGTGGGGGTCAAGACTTTGTGACCGTTGGAGGAGGGTCTCAAAAGGTATTTTTTTTGCATGATGTAATTTGCGAACGACCCAATATGAGCTGATTAAAACAATAGTGTGCTTCTACTTCTATGGAGCTTGAGATCAGATGCGACCAGTGACGTAGCTAAGGTTAGTCAGTGTCGCCAGGGACAGGCCAATAGTTTCACCGCCCCACCACCCCTTCCACCAAAAAAACCCACACTGCAGCGTGCCGAAATACCGCCCCAACGTGCCACTAGGGACGAACCACACCATCTTCCTATGAGAGGTTGTATTGCGTCATGAACAAAACAAAATACACACGGCACAACGCTGTCACGTGACGTGTACGCCGCCATTTTTCTTATCAAGGAGGGCAAATTGCACACGACACTTAAGTAAATTCTAATCTTAGAATTTCCACGTGCAAGTGGATACTTTTGTAAATATTATATTCGATTGATTGTTCCATTAAATTGTGTGGGGACACACACGTGTGTGTTTTCAGGTGGTTTTGTATGTTCGTGTCAAAGGCGAGTAATGTTAAATTTACAACAGCGCTTTTCACGAATATGATGAGCAATCACTTAGACTAAGTTAGACTAAGTCTCAGTTGTTTCTTTGGATATTGATTTAATTGATTGATCATTGGCATTTATTATTTATCATCCTTAGACCCACGCTTACATTCATTGAAACAAGACTACAACAACAACCACAATCACAACAATCAGCTCAAACTGCGACTGAAATGAAACGAAGCGGTGCTGGGAGAAAACTTCCAATTATTTCTTTCTGTGGCCGTGGCATTAAAAATTACCTACACAAACAAAGGCAAAAAGATGATGGACATTTTAAATTGGAGTTGCCATGGCCATGTGCTTTTATGGGTGTTACTTGCCCTAAAAGCATATCTCAAACTTGTCAAAGAAGTTCATTAAGTTGTCAAAGTTTAGATTTTAAATTTAATTGCATGATTACATCATCGACGAATGAAAATGAAGCTGGAAGCCAAGCAAGATGCAAACACATATTTTGCTTATTCTTAGGGTGCATCATGATGATGTCTGCAAATGCTGAAACCACAGGAAGTAGCATTACTAATCTAACTACATTTACAATTACATCACCCAATGTTGTTGACTCAATGTTGTCAAATCAAAGCACATTTGGACAAAAAAAGCCAATGAAGCCAATCACTGTGGAGAAAAGAAAAGAAGGGATAAGTTCTAACAAGAAGCCAATCACTGTGGAGAAAAGAAAAGAAGGGATTAGTTCTAACAAGTCAAAACAAATGAATTTGAGGCCCACACCAACACTCACAAGTATCACTGACACAATCAAGGACTTACATAATCCTATTCTAAATCAACCAAATGGAAGTGTTAAGTTAAAACCTGTGTTTAACACATCCACTTCCACATCCAAGCACTTCATTTTGAAACTTTTCAAGAGATACAGTAATGAAAATTTTCTAAGCATAGAAAATTTTGAAAAAATTCTGAAGCATGTAGGCGTAGGAATTTTACTTTTAGAGACATCTAGCATTTCCTCTGTACAAATTCACAGGCAAGACGAAGAAGATTATAATCACCAAAATGAGAATGAGACACATGTTCAAATTGAAGCCACCGGTAAAGAAATGGCATCAAGTGTTCTACTTAAGAAATCTGATGACAGTCATCCAAAATCCAATATAAACAATTTAACTTTACGAGATGTTAAAGCTCATGCACAGGAAAATGTTAACATGGGAAGTATTAATTCCAATCCTGCTAAAGTTAATGAGCAGCAAGTGTCCCAGAACAAGCCTAATGGAAAACTGTCACATTTAGATCATGTAGGCTTTTTGTTATTTAATAATATAATAATCAAATAATCTCTCAATTTTAACAAATTACTGGTTAAAAAATAATATGTAATATAATGCACAATTGTTAAGATAAGAAACATTGTCATTAAGACATCATTTTCATGCCTGTCTGTAGAAATTAAATTTAGAATTGAATAAACTATTTTATAAGTTGATGCAATTTTGTAAATATAATTAATTAATATGAAGGCCTAACTTGCAATATTATATATTTTATATGATTGGAAAAAAACACCAAAAGAGATAAGTTATTCATCAAATTCAATGACCATAAGATGGTATAGCAGACACATGATTGTTCTGGTGTAGAAATGTGTAAGAGTGTTACTGACTGCACCTTTAATGTTAACGGCTCTAGACTGTACACAATGTCCAACAATGAAAAATTTATAACAAGATTTATTATTTTTATTAATGTTTTCAGTGCCTGTCCCAACATGAGCTTCTGCAGTCATTTGATTTTGACCGCCAGGAGAGCTTGAGCCAAATTAACTTTGTACAGCTCTGTCCAGCACTCATAGAGCAGTTGGATGGTGGTTACTGTAAAGACCACTCTAACAATGACCATGGTCAAAGACATGACTCTCATGACGACCATAGCCATAAGGACCACGATGGCCATGAGGACCCTGACCACAACCACCATGCTCACGCGGATATGGTCAATGGGTCTGCCTATGATGAATTTGAGCACCCATCTGCTAAAGGTTAATTGATATTATTGTAGTGGTTTTTTTTATTTTTATTGGTTGGGCTAGCTTTTTTGAAGTACCTATTTTATTAATTTAATTGTATGTTCAAAGTCTTGGTGCTAATTTAATTTGTCTCATGGGGTCTCTGTTTTTAAAACAATAAGATACACGTCTCTTGATTTCAGATTGTATTGATGATAAGGGTTTGCAGTGGACAGGTTTTTATTTTGTGTTTACAAAATAATCATAACCATGGAAATTCCATTGAATCATTAAGGACATTGCATCTAAATGAATTTGTGTCATGTCTACCTACATAAGATTAGTTTTTTATATTTATACAAAACATTATTTTTTTTTTAAATTTTGTTTAAATGATACAGTATATTATTGATTTAAATTATATTTTTTCTGTAGTGAAAATCATAATTTTCTATATATGTATTTTTGTGCAAAAATATATGCATACACTTATTTTTTGTTAATATTCTTGTTTGTTATTTTTGTTTTGTTTTGCAGTGTGGGCAATAACTTTTTTGTCAGTTACTATCATCTGTGTATGCAGTATAGCAGGAGTGTTGGTCATACCTAACATGAATCGGGTGTTCTACAACCATGCCTTACAGTTTCTTGTAGCACTTGCTGTTGGGGCAATGTCAGCAGATGCTATGTTGCATTTACTACCTCATGTAGGTCCAGTCTTTATATGCTTCCCTAGCTAGTTTATTTTGTATGTTAGAACTTCACTCTAGCCCTTGAAAATTAAAAAAAGCTGATCTTTTAAAGTTTGTTGAGTTATTAAAATGCAGCAGCCTATTTATATCATTATAAGTAATAACTAATTCAAACATAAATATAAATGTGGGCTCACCGTGCTGTACATAAAACTATTTAGCAAAAGAGACCTAATCATGATATCAAAATAAAATACATAAATGAAATAAAAAACAGCAAGTAGTCAAAGACAAAAACAAAGGTATATTCACCAACCCACCCCAGAAAATTTATAAGGCAAACCATGGACGGCAGCCAGCAGGATCGTTTATCAGTCAGAGGAGGGGGCTCAGTCAGGGTAGTGTAGTTTAAAGAGATGTGTTTTGAGTGCAGTTTTGAAGGCCTGGGTGGTTGATATATTGCGTATGCGTAGTGGCAAAGAATTCCATTGTTTGGGGGCGCAGAAAGAGAAAGATCTTCACCATATTATTTAGTGCATGTCTTGGGAACGGACATGTAACTTGACGGTTTATAAATATCAATTTCAAGATCTGTGAAGTTACATGATCTGTGCCATACATATATATTTTTATTTTGCATGTTTTTTTTCTCATTTATGCAGGCCTTGCTGTCTCAATCGCACCATGCACACCATCACCATAATCCACTTCCTGGAAATGAAACATCAAAAGTATTGCATCCCAGTGGGTACATGTTTGCCTTGTACAAAGGTCTGGTGGCTCTGATGGGAATATACATGTTTTTCTTTCTGGAGAGGCTTTTTACCCTCTTCACAAATCACAGGAGCAAGAAAAGAAATATGAACAATGAGCAATGGAGGCTTCAGCGCATCAAAGTAAGTTTTAGCATGGACATTGGTGTGTTGGTTGCTTTTTTTTTGTATTTTTTTTCTAAACCGAGAGTGTAAGAAATATTCTTGATTAATAATTCACTCAGATTTTTATATTTTTATTAAAAAAAATTCAGCCAACTTTCACTACAGTGTTCAGATATTAGAAATTTTTTTTTTGAATGGTCGTGATTAAAAGAAGTATGTATCTGATTGCGATTCAGTTTTCAATCCTGAGAAAAAGGTTAAGGATTTCAGTCTGATGAGCATTGATGAATGACAAATAATTTAAATGCTTATATAATCAGTGTGGATATTTTTATTTCATTTTTGTTTTTACATTTTCACACAGGATGGGAAATCACCAGATAGCAAAGATTGTGAGAAAGAGATCCATATAGTTACTAGCTGTGATGAAGTGGTGATGGTAGTTCATCCAAACAAAGGTAAGCTACTTGGGTGCAAAAAACAGTAATTTTGATAAAAGGTGTAGTCACGCCCCCACCCTCCCCCCCCTTTGTGCGGTCACCATTTATTATGCACAGGGCAGACAAAACCTATAATAAAACTTATTCAGGAACAGGCCCCTTTTTCTCAAGAATAAGCTTGGAACTAACTTTATTTGAACATTTGTCTTGAAAAAAATGCATACGGAAAATGTTTCACCCATAATGTTAACTGCTACAGACATGAATCTATACATGTTTATTATTAAAATCACTTGTTTAAACAGTAACCCAGCTATTCAAAGTAACTTTTAAGGTAAACTGCAAAACACAAGGATTTGAACATTTATGCAGCTGTCACGTTTATCAGAAAGTTTTTTTAAAAAAAATTGAATTTACAAAACAACCTTTTCTGATAGTTTTCTTTCCTAAAAATTTTAATTACCGGTACCCAATCTAAAGTGCTCATTTTGGATATATTTTGTCTCTGCATTAAGTAGTTAAAGAATGTATTTCTGAAGAATAACATACCGGTACCAACTTATTAACTTTCCATTAATCAGATTCTGATAAGCTTTGTGATCCCATTTCAATACTGATTGCTTAATTCAATGTACCTTGATAAGCTTTGTGATCCCATTTCAATACTGATTGCTTAATTCAGTGCACCTTGATAAGCTTTGTGATCCCATTTCAATACTGATTGCTTAATTCAATGTACCAATGCAAAATAATTTTTTTAAAGAAAATTTTGTAACAATTAAAGAGTTAATAACCTTTTTGTATCTTTAAAATTCAAATCACCGTAGCCCTAAAGGCATTTGCTGATGTCAAGCATGAGGCCCTTCTGCACAGCTGTGATGAATCCCTGACTTTTTCACCATCTGGGCATGAGTTGAGCCATGCTGCCGTCAACGGGAACACAAATCGACTGAATGTCTGCTCCAGTGTCAGTGTTTACAGTGATGAGCTTTTGTCCCCTGGGGCAGAGAGAGCATGCCAGTTCAAAGGATCGTCTTTGTGGTCTGATGCTGAGATTGTTGGGTTTGATATTTTTTATTTAAAAAACCAACATGCTATTTTATTTGCTAATTACTTTTTAGGCTTACTGTGGTCTCTGGGGGTGCCCAACATGAGGCCTGCGATGCGGCCCGCCGGGAGTCATGATGCGGCCCGCCGGGAGTCATGTTGTGGCCCGCGGAGCTAGGTAAAATGAACATAAATGTTAACTGTATTGTTCAATCACCAAAAGAATAGTACATCATGAGTCGTTCGTATCACATATTTTTAAATTTTAGCTAAGAGAAATTTGAAATATCCCGGATTTTGTGGAAAATTCATAGATTTTAGCTTTTTCAAATATTCCGCTATTTGACACTCAAGATTGCTTAGTTTTTTTGTCCGACGCTAGGTTTTGATAAAATTTAATATGAGACTTCAACTTCTGGTATATATGTTCTGTGGTCTTCGGGAAACTCGCAACGCTATCGGGTTCATACTCATAACTACTTTCAGTCCAGCTTGACTAAAGCTCCATGTTATTTTGTTGTTTCGTTCTTTTATCGCCACTGTGTCTGGAGAGATTCTGCGATCGACGTAAAATACTTATTTATCATATTTATAATAAGAATTGATATGCAACGAATCTGTTTCTGTTTCAAAAGAGTGTAACATCAAACGGTACTTTGAGACTAAACAGGCAAATAAGTTTGATAAGTACAAGTGCAATTTCAAAAAGACCAAGTAAATGACTTTTTAAAAAAATTATGCACAACAAAAGATACAGAGGTTTCAGAGTCCACTTGCTATGTTAAAGCTTGATATGCAATAGCCATGATACTAGCAAAAAAATCGAAGCCATATTCAGATGGTGAAATGGTTATGGAATATTTGGAGAGCATTGTTGAAATTCTGTGTCTAAAAAAGAAGACAGATTTCTCAAAAAATAAGTCAGTCTTGTCAGACTGTTACTAGGCGTGTGGATGACATTGTTTTCAAAACAACATAAATGAACAGTGGGATAGGATAAAAAATGCTATGAAAAGATCGGCAGAAAAAGTCGTAGGATTCCAGCAAACTAACAATAGAGTAGGATGGTGTGATAATGAATGCTGAGAGACTGTCGAAGAAAGGAACAAAGCACGAATGATCATGTTACAAAGGGAAAACAGAAAGACAACACAAACATTAAAGGAAGCCAGAAGGTAAGCCACAAAAATATGTAGGAAGAAAGAGCTAAGCTAAAAGAAATGGAAGACTTACCAAGAGAGGGAAACATCAGAGGAATGTACATGAAGATAAAAGAGGTAAAGAATGGATATCAAGTCAGACCGTAAATGTGTGAGAGCAAGGATGGGCAATTAATTACGGAAAATAGTAAAGTACTGGAGAGGTGGGCTGAATATTTTGAGGATATATTGAATGCAGACAATAGACAAGAAGAAGATTATCAACCACCACAGGGAGAACCTGATACATCTGTAAACTCCCCAAATTTAGAAGAAACTAAAGAAGTAATAAATTATATGAAAAACCACAAATCCCATGGAGAAGACATTATCACAGCAGAACTGATTAAATATGGAGGAAAAGAACTACACACTCAGCATTAATAACCACAATACACAAGAAAGGCCCCCAGCTTCAGTGCACAAACTACAGAGGAATCTCCCTATTAAATGTTTCTTACAATATAATAAGGAAGCTAATTGCCAAAAGACTACAACCGTACACTGAAGAAATCCTAGGTGATTACCAATGTGGATTCAGGCAAAGCAGATCAATGACTGATCAGATTTTCACCATCAGATGCATATTAGAGAAATGTTATGAATATAAGATCCCAGTACATCAACTCTATGTGGACTATAAAATGGCCTATTGCAGCAGCAAAAGAAAATATCTATATGAGACTTTGCATGAGTTTGGCATACCCAGTAAACTGACAAGACTGATACATGTAACATTGAACAACTCAAAAGGCAAAATCAAGGTTCAAGGAAAATATTCAAGGGAATTTCAGATTAGATGAGGCCTAAGACAGGGAGATTCACTGTCTTGTATGCTTTTTAACCTAACATTAGAGAGAGTTATGAGAAACATACATATTGACACCAGAGGAACAATACAGGATACTTTCTGAGTAAAACCCAAGACCCACAACCATTGGGCATTCTCTACAATCAACCCCTTCAGAATCTTGCATATGCTGATAACAACCAAAAAACAAAATACATGACTATGATAAGAGAAGAACAGGCATGCATAATATATACCTGGTCTCCCCATACATTAATTACATGTTGGTAAATAAAGGCAGTGTTTTCTCAACATAATGACATCGGATTTCATTTATTTAAAGAAAATTTGGCTCAAGGGTTTTAAAGCTTTCAAAGTAGCCAGATTTTTTATTACCTATTCCATAATATATGTCATATGTAGTTAAGTTTTTGAACCAAAACTAAAAAAAACAAAGATATCAACAAGGACAGACCTTTCTATCATTGTATCAAAATTTAACTCTGATTATGTATTGCCAGTATGGGATTCAATCCCCATTATATTTAAAGCACAACAGGGCTATTAAGATTTCCTATTTACAACAATGCATCCGTGACAAAAATAAATCAAAGGATGTGCCTTAAAAATTTTTGTTTTGGCTTATTTTATTGTTACTCCTTTTTTTCTTTCTTTACTTTTCTGCTCTCAAAATTTGATTTTATTAGTATTTTAACACTGGAAATGAATTTTTAATCACTTGCAATAGCTTACCAAAAGAGAGAGAGCTTGAAATGGACTTGGAAAACCATGCTCACAGCCACATGTCAAAGGACTACAGGGGGTCGGTGAGTTCTGTGGCCATGATGATTGTGGTTGGGGACATGATCCACAACTTCTGTGATGGACTGGGTATCGGCACAGCTTTTGCCGGGAATATTGCTGGAGGTCTCAGCACATCAGTCGCTGTGTTCTGCCATGAGCTGCCCCATAAAATTGGTTAGTCAAAAATAGTATGATTATTCTTACAGTGTAGTTTTTTTCTTCACATCTTTATAAGAAGTAACAAAGTTTTTTTTAAAAATGAGTAGAAAGTGTTTATATGCTTGATCCTCCTATGAGCCACTGCAGACGAAATAATTCTAAAAATTCATTGAACACCAGTTTATAAATTAATTTAAAGATGACAAAATAGCTTGCAAATGAAATCATGTTTCTTTTTTAAATAATGGACATCCTTTCTTAGAACATGGGGGTGAAAGAAAAGTTCCTTGTGTCTAAAACAGATGACATTGCACGACACAGTCAGTGTCTGTTTTTAATTTGTTAAAGAAAAAATGTAAGGCTCATCATATCAAAATAACAGTATATGTTACGGGTTTAACTTCTACAACAAGGCTTTCTGATAATGTTGTCTTCCTTAGGAGACTTTGCGGTTCTTGTAAGGTCTGGTCTGTCACTGAAAAAAGCACTGTTTTACAATGTGATATCATCAATCCCGATTTTCATTGGTGCTGTCATCGGACTAGTTGTTGGGAACTTGGCGGCTTCCTCACTGTGGATCTTTGCTGGAGTGGGGGGAATGTTCCTCTATATCACATTGGTAGATCTGGTGAGTGTTTAGTCTCAATGCCATCTCTGATAGCGTTGAAAAAGTATGTCTGCTTGTTTTGGTTTTTTTTGGTCAAAATTATTTTACCTGAGTTTGTTTTCACATGAAAATACACCTCTTAGAAATGCAATAAGGAAAGACAAAATGGTTGTGAAAGATTTATGTAAACAAATGCAGCTGGGTCTAAATCTAAACACATTTGTTCAGCTTACAAAATGTATAATACCGGTATTGATTTTAATTTCATCAGGGTCTGATGAAGAGCATGATAATGCTGCCGGGCATTACCACTGGCTGGTAATGTGTAAAAATTTAGAGCAATTTTAATTGATATAATTTACTGCATTAAGTCATTAAGGTCATCATTTCTTTTCTGTCAATAAACGCCAATAAACTCAGGAGGTTTAATTTATGAAATATAAAATATTTTTAAAATTTTAATGCTATGAAACAATTTTAAGGTTCCAGAGATGACCTCCGTGTACACGAAAATTGGAGAACCTTGGTTTCTGCATCTTCTGCTTCAAGCCAGCGGCATTGCAGTGGGCACCACCATTGTGCTCATTATAAGTGTGTCTGAAGAGTCACTGCTTACAACACTCCAAGACTAGTCATGTTGGCCCCACGGTCGTTGAAGACAAAGACGATCATGCCACTTAATAATGTGCATGATCTTTGAACTATTCATTTGCCATTGTTTACAGTAGAGGTGACGGTGGTTCATTAAATATTTATTTATATTTGGAGGTCGGTATACTTTCTCTGTCTCATAATGCTCCCCTTTCTTTGTTTAAAATTGAATGATTTTGTCGTTTTTTTAGATGATTGAAGTGAAAAACATTCCTTCAGTGTGTAACAAGGTGACTAAGTTGATAAATCCTTTATAACAATACCTTTGCATTACTGGATCAAAGTGATAAAAAAAAAGAACTACAGGGTTGCAAAGCCACCATCTTTAAACCATTTTGATGAAACTGTAAACTAAATAAGCTGATGACTAAGAATTGTGGAAAGGACTATGCTGCAAAAAGGGATTACGCAATTCCTATGCACAAGCTTCAACATGTGGAAACACATTGTCATTTATTTCAATTGCCAAATTTTATTTTGTAAACAATGCAGTTTCTGAGTGAACAAAAAGATTATTGAATCAATAAAAAAGACTTTCAAACATATCTGGCATCTGCTGTAGTGCTGAACTGAGTACTGACCTGGATACCCAGAGTATTCGCATACCCTGACCCAGAAAAAAAAGTGGAGCTGTTTTTAAAATATAGGTATCTTCTCATTTTCTGTAATGTTTTCCATTCAATAGGGAGAAATGAAACTTGTATGCATAAAACCATTACATATTTTAGTACATTTTACGTGAATTAAATCAATAATATTAGAAAACTGACTAGTGATTGGTGCGAAACTAAATGTAAGTAATGAAACTGCAAAGTTCTGAAAATAATAATGTACTTGTGAATTTTGTGTACCGGTAATTATTTGTTGTGGTGAGATGCATATCTATGGTTATGACCACAACACTTTCTATTTACAATTAATATTTCAAGTCACATGCTGACCGGCCGATGATACTGAGTTTTCGATTGTATGTGTGGCGCATTTTTAAGTTCTAAAATAGAATTCAATAAAAGTAAATAATTTAACACTCATTTAGTAAGTGAAGCATTTGGCTTAACTGTAGGAAGGCTAGAATGGTATCATCATGATGATGATACAATTATTTATTAAGATAATGTGCGTATGATGTATCAGAAAAAATGAATACCGCTTCCAACTAGTGACCTGCAACACTAATGCATATAACATTGTTATGTTTATGGTTTAGGGCAGTGGATCTCAAACTGGGTGTCTTGAACCCTCTCAGGTCGATTGAGAATTTCAAAAATTTCTGGGGATTGACTTACAAAGCACCCTCTACAGAACCCTCCACCCTTCTAAGCCCTTATTTCTGCTTCCCTTCACCCCTGATCAAAATACAATACCAATACATTTTTATCTGCAAAAAAAGCTATGCCCCAGCCCCCCTTTCTAAACATTTATATCAAAATTTCAAGGTATAATTCTGGTTGTTGGTCGCCACAACTTGGCAAATGCTATAAAAGAATTGCGGCAATAAAAAGGTTTAGAACCGCTGGGTTATGATTATATTATTAAACTATTAGTGTTTTGATGCCTCTGTGATCATCACTGGAAATGCCCTTTGCACTTCTACAGATTGGGTGGAACACATTATAGAAAATGAGAAAATAACACTGTGCTCCGAACAGCTGGGTATTTTCTTTCTTCTCAAAATACCCAAACCAGGTGTAAAAAAACTGCAGCCGGCTCAACCCTGTTGCTGATTCTTGTCAAAATGATATACAATGTCTTTACCATGGCTCTGTTGTATGTTTTTTGAGTCAAAAACAATTTTATAGTATTTTTTTGTGTATGAAGATTTCATGCATTTCAAGGGTACCTGCCAACCTATGTTACAATATTTATTAATAGATATTATTGTACTGGAGTCATTTTTTATTACTGTGACAGTATTTTGTTTCCAGTTATATCTTTATATTGTTGTATTATGACAGCTTACAGTGCTTAGTACAATTTGATTTATTTATGCATTTAAATTGTTATAAAATGATTGTTGAATACTTTTTAAAGTCTATAAAATTTACTGCAAATGCGCAGAATTTTATTTCTATGCTTGAAATTGAAATAACAATGCAAGGTTGAAATAGAGTTTGTCACTCTGACTGTTGGGTTGTCTCTCAGACAATTGGGTTGTCTCTCAGACATTTGGGTTGTCTCTCAGATAGTTTGGTTGTCTTTCAGACATTTGGGTTGTCTCTCAGACATTTGGGTTGTCTCTCAGACATTTGGGTTGTCTCTCAGATAGTTTGGTTGTCTCTCAGACATTTGGGTTGTCTCTCAGACATTTGGGTTGTCTCTCAGACATTTGTGTTGTCTCTCAGACAATTGTTTTGTTAAAACCTCTTTAATGTTAAATCTTGTAAATGTTTCTTTCCTTCGGTGTCGAAGAATATATTTGAGCAAGTATAACAAATAGTTACAACTTAACAGATTCATTGGTTTTGATTCATATCAGTTGTTAAATTTTTTTAATCTTGTAAAAAAAAATATAATCCCAATTCTTCCAGCACCACCTCAAAGAAATCTTCCAAACATTTCCATGTCTTTGATCTGATAGTTCGCTAAACTTAGAGTTGGAAATGAGGTTTATTCAGTGCTGTTTAAAGGCTTTTACTTAATTTGATTACAATTTTTTTTTTCTCTTCTCCTTTTCCAAAAAATAATATTTCTCCAAAAGATATCTGATAATCAAATCACATGATTATAAATCCTAATAAAAAAATCAAATTGTTCCCGAAATCAAAGAATTTTAATAACATACCCGTATGATCTTAAGAGCATCTAGTTATCAATGTTAATATATGGGGGACTGTGTTCACGCCAGTGAAGTAATTAAATAGTTGAAGATATGCTTTGGCTTGAAAAGGATATGGAACAATTAAAAGTATGTTTCGGCTGTTATAAACGTTTGTATCAAGCCTAAACAAATCTTGTTCCACAATTTATCAATGATATGACATTAAAGTAGCACTGTGCATGTTTTTCTTATCTCTTAATCTTTTTAACATTGCCATATGCAATATGATTGATTTATTTTTGTAAAAGGGACCTCATTAGTTTTTATAGCTTGGTGAAGCCATGACTTTCTCTTCCCCGCCCCCTTCCTCCTCCTCCACCCCCTTGCTATTAAATCACTAAATCACTTGCATATTACATTTTAATTCATGAACCCCTATTTATGTTTCAGTAACCCAGCAATTGAGATTGAAGTATGGCTAGTCAGGCATGTTTATAGAAGGATATACCATGATATTTTATGAGCTTGGTATCAGTGGCATAGAGAGGGAGGGAGGGATGGAGGAGGTGGTGCTAGCTGTTCCATGGGAAATACCCAATGCATTAATTATGCCTATGATTATGAAGGCTCCTTGAAGTAGTAGAAGGGACACCAGGATCTTAGTACTTGTTACCATTTACAACTCGTGTAAATTTTATAACTTTGCATTTTGGAATAATTTTGTGTGTAGAGGGGCATTGTAAATGCTGAGATGAAATTGCAACTTTTCATCTCTAACTCTCTGTTAGTTGCAGATACATTTATTCTTTCTTTTCCTTTTTTTTTTCTTTTTTTTTTTTTCTTTATTCATTAAAGCAACTTCAGAAATTTTTTTTTAATTTTTGTTTCAAAATTAATGTAGAGGGGCATTGTAAATGCTGAGATGAAATTGCAACTTTTCATCTCTAACTCTCTGTTAGTTGCAGATACATTTATTCTTTCTTTTCCTTTTTTTTTTCTTTTTTTTTTTTTCTTGATTCATAGAAGCAACTTCAGAAATCTTATTTTAATTCTAGTTACAAAATTACATCCACTGTATTTGCACATTTACGCCTAGATATACATTATATCAAAAATTAGAGGTGAGTAGACTGACGTTTGTAAAATTTTAACAAAATTATTAAAATCTGTCAATAGTTTGAACTGGGCACTGAATTTGAGCTCTGAAGATCATCAGGTCAGAGGAAGGGCTCAAGAGTTTTGAACTCTGAAAGACACCCATCCCAACATGATAAAAGCTGGTAAAAACAAGCATTAAATATTTTACATAATATGTATTAGATGCCGTTTATTCGATTCTTCGTTTTGTTTTTTTTTAAAATCCAATGACTAACATTCCGGAATAGTGTATGGTATTAAAATTTTATATTTAATTTTTTATCACTCTTATGGAGTCGGGTTGAGCCAAACTGTTAAAGACTCATTTTTTGATGCTTCCATATTTGAATTGTATTTCTTTATTATCACACTCAACGAAATCCAACTATTTATTAGTCAAACTTTCCAATCTACTCATACTGCTGATGCCTCATTTGAAACTTTATGTTATCCAAATAAAAACTTTGCTTTGACACTCTTCTGTTGAAAAAATTTGACCTTAAACTAAATAGTGATGTTTTTAAAGCAAAAATTATTAATACCATTCATAGTAGTACTAGTACACTTGCTTATAAAAGACCTGTACATCATTTTTTCAGTAATTTTGCAGATCTGACCAATGATGTGTTTTTGTCTTTGATCTCTAGAAAATTCAAAATTATCTTTTTTAAAAAAAAGATAATTGAAAATGACTTAAATTTGCTTACCATTTATGTTTAGCTTTCAAATTTTGGTTGGCTAAATTTTTTACATTCAATCAGATTTTGTTAATTTCTTCATCTTTATGACAATTTTGCAATTCATTCAAGTACTCTCTATGTAAATACTATTTGTCACCTAGTTTTTTTTGTGTTGCTTTTGTTTAATATTTTGCTTTATTTGTGCCGTTCAGAACTATTTTATTTTTTCAGATGTCCTAAGGTACCAATGTGTTGACTTCTTGATTTATTTGAACAGTGTTTTTGTTTTCAGCTATGATCCCTACATGACAGAATATCACAACTACTTAATTAAATTGATATTTTTTTTTTGGTCTCCACTGGAGCAAATTGTGTTTGATAACTTCAATTTACAAGCAACAAAGAACGAATAAATCAAAAGTTTAATTTTGTTCATAGTAGCTGATGGATGTTTTGGGCCTTTATTTATTTATTTATCCATGTCTTGAAATAAACTCTTGGTGACCATTATTTTTATACATAATCTGTCACCAACAGTTAATCATAGATAAAATGATAATCTTTGTTTTCTTTGCT